TGTTGGTAATTATGAATATAATTGTTCAATGTGTAGTCGTAATGTCGGGAATTTAGAAATATTTTTGCTGCAGGTTCTTATAAAGTATAAACATGGCGACCTTGTAAAAGATATATTACAAGAATTGTTAAAATATTATTTTTACATTCCCAATACATTATTAATTGCCACTTTGTTAGTAGACTGCTCAACCAACTTACTTACTATGAACTTATGTACCAACTCCCACTTCCCATGGATGTTATTTCTTCTTCTTCACTGGTTCCGCCACTCACATTCGGTGTCTTGGATTTATGGTAAAAAATGAAGACCACTTATCATGTTGCATGCTTGATGGCCAAGAAAATTTTTGTTTTCCCAACCTCAATTGTAATAGTTGAACAAGCATTTAGCGTGTGGGGATATACTCTGGACTCACAACAATCGAAGTTGACATCACAAAATTTAGATGCTCAAATACTATTGAGGGACTGGAATAATGACGAAAGAAGGGCATAAACGGCCATTTTAACTGAAGATGATGACATAGAGCTTGATGATTTTACTAGAACTAGTCAAACCATCGAAACTGAAGACGGCGAGTACGACTACATCTACGATTATTAGATCGTTCAACGCATCATGTTATCTTCTTTCACCAAAATAAGTAAGGTAAGCGAACTACGAGTACTTTGATTACTAAGGTAAGAAACTTAATTGATATATTATAAGTTTTATAATTACTAGCTAAGCAATAAATAAAACCTATTTAATTTTACCTAGGTGGCACTATAACATTTTCCCTCCAAAAACCGTTACTTTGATTTATTTAACCTTTCATAATCATCATACACTAATTACTTCAAAATTATAAAAATTATTTGAACTTTTGATTACTGACGGGACCGCATAATGTGATTAGAATTTATCTTTTTAGTTACGTTTAAATTTAACTTTTTTTGGAAAATAAAATGGTATTTGAAATTCCTAAATACATAATAAATAATTCACAAAAAATAAAATACACATTAAAATATACATTATATCCAATCTGATAAACGCAATTTAAAAAAATAAATATTTCAGCTCCTTTAATTGTAAATTTTGCCATGTGCAAAGTTACAGCCCCTAGCTGAATGACCCAACTAACAGCTGAAAAACTGGGAGGCCAAGCTGGAGATTACCTAGAAACTAAAACTAGCAAAGCTAGAATAATTCGGCCACACACAAATAACACAAACACAACTACACAAAAACAACGAAAAAACTACAAACGGTCCCAACAGGATAATGTCCGAGTGTAGGATCCCAACAAGATAATAAGTTTACACTTGGAGTAACCGAGGCCAACAGCCCAAACCTAAAACACGAATACTAACACAAAACAACACAAACGATACAAGGCAAGAACTATAAAAGACAAAAAAAACACGCAAAGCCCTTCCCCAACAAAACACTTTTTTTAAGTTAATTAAGACAAAAATCGTTATATTTATATTAACTGAGTAAAATTATTTTTTTATTGTATCATATAATAATTATATTAAAATTAATAATTATATTTACATTAAATGATAAATAAAAAATACATAAACATAAAAAATTATTTTGCAAAAACTTTTTGTTCAAGTTATTTATTCTAAAATCACTATAAATATTTTTTATATGATTAAGTGTTTGTTTTTAAAATAAATTTATTTGTTTTAATGTCGTAGTAAAATTTCTTAAATTTTTTTTTTTTTGGCCAAAACGATAGAGATATTATAAAAACAATCAAAATACAAGGGCAGCCACCAGCTGAATACAGACAGCCAACAGCTGAATACACGCAGCCAACAGCTGAAAAAGTGGGAGGACATGTCCAAAGGACCGCCTAGAACCGACCCCAACAGGGTAAAACTCAATAACACGATAAAAACACTAAAATACTAAAAAATAACACAAAGACCCCAACAGGGTAATACCCGAGCATCTGGCCCCAACAGGGAAATCAAATTGACACTCGGGCTCACAGAGGCCAAGGGCCCAAACCAAAAATACAAGACACTGACACAAACAAAGAACCAAAAACACAAGACACAGACAAAACCACATGAAAAACGCTAAAACAAAACACCTAAAGACCAACTATAAAGCCCACCACATGAAAAACGCTAAAACAAAACACCTAAACACCTAAAATTTCTTAAAATTGGATAAGCAGTTGTTATAATAAATTTAATATTTTTCAACTAATTAATTGGTCATGATCCCTTAAAATTACAAAAATTACATTATCTATTACATTTTATGCAATCAATATAGTGATTCATATGAAATCAAATCATTATGTACTATTTATTTAACTAATTACCAAATTTTAAAACATAGATATCTAACATTATCTAACTTATAATTCTAATATTATACGCATAAATATAATTTATAATATTCTATGTTTAAAATATAATGTCATTATCTAACTAATAATTTAAATATTATATGCATACAAATAATTTATTATATTTTATTCACATCTGTACAAATGCATATGATCGAATACTAGTTATTTTTTAACCATAAATATTTCAATTTAATTTATATTTCATTTTATAATATGTCAACTAAATCCAAGTCTAATTTTTCTCTTCCTTTTCAAATGCTTAAAAAAAAATAAAAATTGCAAAGACCCGTTGGCCAGGTCTTTCCAGTAGCACTACCGTGTTCCAGGGCAAATTTGCACGCGCCCACTCACCCCAAAAAATTAGAAAATTTAGAGAGTGTAGTGCACATTCTCATTTTTCCTTTTTTAATTGAAAAATGTGACATATTACATAAATTAAAATATCATTAATTATTTATATTAAAAATAAAATAAAAATACCAAAATTCATAATTTTTCATTATCTATAAATAGAGACCACATTTGATAGGTTTTTGCGCACAACTAATTTTTCGTTTTTTCGTAATTATTTTATTATACTGACATATAATGAACATGTTACATAGCTAGATGAATATGTTTTCAAATAAGATGAACATGTTACAGATTGCAGATTGAAATAATACATATTCATCTTATTTTATAACATGTTCATCTCATTTGGTAACATATTTATCTTATTTTATAACATGTTCACCTTATTGTGTATGTAACATGTTCATCTTATTCTATAACATGTTCATTTTATTATGTAACATGTTCACCTTCTTGTGTATGTAACATGTTCATCTTATTCTATAACATGTTCATTTTATTATGTAACATGTTCATCTTATTTTTTAACATGTTCATTTTATTATGTAACATGTTCACCTTATTGTGTATGTAACATGTTCATCTTATTTTATAACATGTTCATTTTGTTATGTAACATGTTCATCTTATTCTATAACATGTTCATTTTATTATGTAACATGTTCATCTTATTTTAGAACATGTTCATCTAAATTTCATCTGTGAAAATGTAACATTTTCATTTTATTCTATGACATGTTCATCTTACTCTATAACTTGTTCATCTTACTATGTAACATATTCATCTAATTATAGATTTGCGTCATAATCTTCTAATAAGATAAAGTAATTGTAAAAAATGATAAATTAATTGTGTTCCAAAAAATATCAAATGTGGTCTCTATTTGTAGAGAATAAAAAATTATGAATTTTGGTATTTTTATTTTTATTTTTTGATACAAAATATGAATGATAATTTAATTTATATAATATGATATATGAAATTCATTACTCAATAGAAATGAGACACATATTTCATTTAAAAAAAATACTCTACCTCCTTACCTCACGTGCTTTTGAAAAAATTGTATCCTTACCTCACGTGCTTTTGAAAAAATTGTATTTTACAAAAAGCTCTGGCACACCAAGTGTGTTAGGGCGCACCTAAATATTTGCGGTCTTTCAGGTCAGTTGCGCTTATCCCGCCACCAAGTAACAGTCGCGTCGGTGGTATCATTATGCCAACGCGCATCACTGTGCGTGAGAATATTTTCTGAAAGTTTCAGTGAAAAAAAAAAAAGCAATCAAATAAATAAATAAAACTGGCAAAACTTTTTTTTCCCTCTGTCACAGACACGCACACACAGAGGATTGGACAACGCAGTTCAAAGCAGATTTCGGATCAATTTCGAATTTGTTTATTCCTTTTCTTGATAGCTGCGTTTTAATCCTTTTGGAAATTCACATCTCACCAGATTAACTATATCTGCCCAAAATTTATTTCCTTGTAATATTTTTGTCCGCATTACCTTTTCGTGTAGCTTAATCATAAACCACCTTTATTTACAACTGTCAAAAAGCAGACTTTTTTGAAAGAGGGATCTTTAATACTTGAATATCAGGTTTGCTTTCTTCATCTCCTTTTTTTTTCTAAACCATTTTCAAGATTTGATCTTTTTGTGCTGGAAAAAAAAAATGGTTATTGATCTGTGTGAATTAGTTTCTTGATTTGAAATTTCGATCTGTTTAATTGTGGTGATCTGAAGGTTAGCACTGTTTTTGATTTGCATATTTATGAATTTCCATCTTTGGATAAAGTTGCTATTAAGGTTAAAGAATTAGCATATTTGCTTGAATAAGTGATACTGATTTAGATTAAGCTCTTTAATGCTGATGCCATTTTCGTTTGCATTTACCTGTTTTTTATACCATTTAGGCCAAACCTTCTTTAATACCACCTTACTCTCAATCACAATAATTTTACTTCTTGGATCTAATTGACTCAATAACTAAAACAAGCAGATTTAAGATTATGGCTTTTGTCAAGTGCCTTATAACATGTTCTTTTTCTGCATACAGTTGGTCAAAACTCACATTTTATGCAAAAATGTTCAGATCATGTGTCTTTTTTTAGTATTGCCTTAGATCTATTGTGTTTATGGTAGTACTCAGTTATCTTTCAGCTCTCAATTTGCAAATACACTACCAAATAAGTTTTTGGATATTGAGCAACTTGTTGAAGTTGTTTTGTGTCTCTCTTAAACAGAACAATTTCGAAATCGGAGAATTTTCCGAAAAAGGCAACATGTTCAAGCACTCGCCACGTAGGAACAACCGAAAAAAAGGGATAAAAGTGAAGCACGTGGTCCAAATCGCCCTTCTGCTCGGGATCTGCTTTTGGCTGCTCTACCAAGTCCAGCAATCGCGCGACAAAAGGACGAACAACTCGAAAATCTCGACAAAGCTAGAAAACGAACCCGAGAGCATAAAGCTCGGGAGAAAGGATCTCAACCCGAAGATAGAAAGTGAAGAAAGCAACGAGGAAGCTGAGAAGGAGGAAATCCGGCATTTTGATGACGAGAACAAGCCGGACGACAGGTGGCAAGAGCAAGAGAAAACGGAGGAGAGAGAAAATCTGGAGGTGAAAGAAGATGAAGGGAGTAGAGAGAAGAACAATGTTGAGGGAGAGAGTAGTGAAAGTGGTGATTTGAATAATGATGAGGCCAAGGGGAATGAAGGGGATAATATTGAGAATAAAATTGAGGAGACAACGGGAGAAAATGAGAGCACGGAAAATAAAATTGAGGAGATGACGGGAGAGAACGAGAGGAAAGAGGAGAAGGATGAAGAGATGAACAAAAACGAGAGTGAAGAAGTTGGGGGAGATAATGAGGGAAACACGAGCAAGAATGAAGAAATTGTGGAAAACGAGAGTGAAGAAAGTGTGGGTGGTGAGAAAACATATGAGAAGAAGAATGAGGAAATTGGGAAAAACAAGAATGAAGAAAGTACGGAAAACAAGAATGAAGGAAGTGGTGGAGAAAATGCGGTTGATGAGAAGAAGAATGAAGAAATCGGGGAAAACAAGAATGAAGAAAGTACGGAAAACAAGAATGAAGGAAGTGGTGGAGAAAATGCAGCCGATGAGAAGAAGAATGAAGAAATTAGGGAAAACAAGAATGAAGAAAGTACAGAAAACAAGAATGAAGGAAGTGGTGGAGAAAATGCGGGCAATGAGAAGAAGAATGAAGAAATTGGGGAAAACAAGAATGGAGAAAATATGGGAGAAAGTGGGAGCGAAGAGAACAAGAATGAGGAAATAGCCGAAAACAAGAATGAAGAAAGTAAGGGGGAAGGTGAGAACAAGAATGAAGAAATTAAGGAAGATAGTGCGAACATGGAGACCAAAAACAAAGTAGAGAGTGAGAGTACAGAAAACAAGAATGAAGGAATTGGGGAAAACAAGAATGGACAAAGTATGGGAGAAAGTGAGAGCAAAGAGAACAAGAATGAAGAAATTAAGGGAGATGGTGTGAACATGGAGACCAAAAACGAGGAGATAAAAATAGAGAGTGGGAGTACAGAGAACAAGAACGAAGAATATAAAGGAGCAAACGAGGCCAAAGAAAACAAAGGATATGAGGGAACTGTAAATAACGAGAGCAAAGGGGATAAAAGTCAAGAAGCGGCTGCAGGAGAGATCGAGAACAAAAGTTTTGAGAAAACGGAAGAAAATGGGAACAAAGAGAACCAAAACAAAGAATATTCTAATGACGGCAATGAGAAAGATGTGAACGGAAGTGAATCTTCACAGCCGAACCCTACAGAAGGCAAGGAGGACAAAAACAATGACAAAGGAGAGAGCAAAGAAGGTAGCGAAAATGATAACAAGGAAAACAAGCCAGTTGAGAAGCAGAAACAAGACTTGGATCAAATTACAAATGAAGAAACTAACGAGAGCTCCAAGGGAGAGAATGGTTCGGATCAAAGTGTCTCCAATGTCTCGGTAGAAAATTCTGAAAGTAAAACGGAAACTGAGAATGTTAGCTTGGCTAACAAGAACGAGTATGAGAATCAGAAGATGTCTAACGAAAACAGCATCACTAGTTCAGAGTTGACCAATCATGATTCTTCAGCAGAAACAAACGGGGCCAGTGGTGATTTCAGCCAAAGCCAAAACGAAAAATCAGGAGAAGTCGAAAATGAGTTGACAGAGAAAACGGGTACCAGTAACGAGAAAACGGATCAAAATTCGACTCATTCAATGACTAGTGAGAATGTAGAGAACACTCCAGAAACTTCTATTGAGACTAACTCTGCTGGGGACCAGAAAACTGAAAGTGACTCTGCTTCTGACGAGAAAACAGCATCGTTTAGTGACAGTAATGGCAGTGATGGTGCGGGTGAAACTCAGTCGGACGTTTCTACTTCGGAACACGAACTCTCCCAAGAAGCTGGAAATGAAGCTAACGGCCATGAGGCAACTGCCTAGGGACCTCTTCTTTTTCGTTATAACTTTTTTCTTTTTCTTTTTTTTTGGGATTATTATGAATGATTTTTAGTTTTAACAGAGGTTGGGTGTTTACATTTTCTGGTGTTTGTAGCTCTTTCTGGAAAACAGAATGTAATAGTATTCAGGACTCTTGTTGGTATACTGTGAGTGTAAACTACTCAATAGTACTTGATCTTATTTATTCTTGTCTCGGTTACTTTTTAAGAGAGCAATACCTGAGGCTGAGGGATCATGCTATTCCTTTTTGGCTTGCAGATTATGGCTTTAGCACTCACTTACAGCATATGTTATAAGTTTGATTTTTAACTTCGCAATTTTATTCCGATCGGTTCATGACACTTTACTGAGTATGTTTTACATTTTGCAGAGGAGAGTCACTGGCGTTTTAACTCAAAGCTGAATACTGAACTAGTTTTTTACTGAGTGTGTTTGACATTTTGCCGAGAAGAGTCACTGGCGTTTTAACTCAAAGCTGACAACTGAACTAGTTTAAACTTACCGACCTCCCTGTGGAGTGTGGATAAGTTATCGATAAAAATGTATTTACATATAAAGTACCAGAAAAATAAAAAGTACTAGAAAATCTTGGGCAAAATTCTACTTTCTATTAACCAATGCAAGTCAACAATTGCCATAGAAAATTGTTTGAAAAAGATCCATTTCATACCAATGCTAGAAGGTAGTTCTTATTTTGGATAACTAACAAAATAATAATAATAATCATCATTTTATGTGAAAATACGTAATGATTGTTAGATGAAGGTTTAGGAGCTTTAATAAGCTATAATATATTGTTTCTCAACATGATAGCATAGTTGTAGGAAATCCCAACCTACTCCTCAAACGTCGTTTTGCGTAAACACAAAATAGGATAACAAAAAAACAAAAGAAAACGAAGGCAAAGCTCAGTGTGCAAAGGATTGTCAACACAAAATACAGGATAACAAAAAACCAAAAGAACACCAAGGCAAAGCTTAGTATGCAAAGGATTTTCAACACAAAAGACAGGATAGTGAAAAAACAAACGAAAACGAAGGCCAAGCTTAGTGTGCAAAGGATTGTCAACAGGACCTGCGGTCCTACAATTTTATGGCATTCGAATTTCGAACACAAGTTCCAATAACCATGAAAAAGAAACAAAAAGCGTATTATTCCTTGGGTGCTCATATTAGACAACCATGACTAATATGGCATTACAGGTTTCAGTGATGTTTCACCTCAAACAGACCATCAGGACCTGCATAAGCATAACTCCAGGTTAATATATGTCAAATGGTAAAGGCAACTTAGAAACAAAAATGTCTTGAAAGAAAGATGGAATTTAATATAGAGGCTGCATATTTGTTCCCAAGCCTATTCAACCTACATACCACCAATCTAGAGTTAAAAAATATATTTACAATTTCAAACTAAATCCTACTGAAGAGTGCCTATGCAAAATCTACATTCTGTATTTTGGATTGCCTAGTAACTAAGTCAGAGAAACAATCATCTCCCCTCTTTATTAAGTGTTACGTCTATCACTTGTCCTGGCCGTACTCTTAAAGTCTTTTCAATCATACTTAAGAGTTTCAGTTGGAGGATAGAAAATGTGAAAAGGAGGAAATGCAATAATAAAGATACAAAATAAACTCCCATATTTCAAATTGGAAGACAACAGATCCATACAAAAAGCTCAAGTGGAAGTATCAAATTCACTGGCAACGTCATTAGCACAACTTTCCTATGAAGATTAGTTTTCCATTCAAAAAAAAAATTTGCCATCATATCTAATTTAAATTGTGGTCTAAGAAAGTCCCCTGATATAGATTACGGAATTATAAACAAGTATCCTTTTCATTATTTTATTATCATCAACATATCGATCATGAAGTCATATGCTTAAGATTTCAGACTGCCACTTCAAAATCAATTGGACCTGTAAGAAATAACAAGGACTAGAGATTTTACAAACAGAATCACATCAGATGTCTCTTATATTTAAACCTCATCACTACAAGGTCATCCCCACATTGCACAATATCATCTTGTGTTTTTTAAGAAAATGAACATTCCAAAACCGTTGCATTGAGGTGGCCTGGATTCCAGAAATTTTCTCCAACAAAAGTTATCTAATGGTTATCATCTTATGTATGTCACTGTAAACCTTACACTATCAAAACCATAATTCTGAAAAAGAACATATAAAGAATGTTGAGCATAGAATAAAACATAACTTACCCCAAGGGAACTCCTTATTGCGGATATGAAGGTACGGGTATGCCTGCACCAGAACACCACAATTATATCATAAAAAATAATAATAATTCCCTACCCAGATTCCGATTCTTGCTATTTTCTATATTCAAATAGGCATGTAAGGAACAAATATCAACTAAGCAAATAAGAACAGTATAATGGCACAATCAGAAGAACAATCTCACTGGAGGCTCGTCATGGTGAGGATGGCCCTTGGAGAGGTTATAGATAGCGAGAACAGTGCAAGATACTATTCCTGCATATGTTATCTTCTCCCACTTGGAAGCCTCAGCTACATAAATAAGAAAACCCAAACATTAAAATATAAACACTTAAAATTCTCAACTTAGGCCTCCTACAATCAAATCAGATCCCGAGTGCAATTAAAACCCTAGGCAGGTGAGATCCATGGGTATATCCAGAAACAAATTGAAATTCAAACATATTCAGGATTATCAAGTTACACCTCCATAATCAAATCATATATGGGGTAACGATCCCAAATGCAATTAAAATCCTAGGCAGGGGAGAGCCATATCAACATAACGTGAAATTTCGAATTCATTTTACAAATACATAATCCAATACCAGCTTCATCGTGGGGCGAGGAAGAGGAGGAGAAGGAGCGCTTGGGAGCTGGGGAGATGCGCGGTGCAGACGCGCCACCGCGTACGGCGGAGCGGAGGCCAGATCTCACAATCGCCGCTGCCATTCGGATTATGTTTCACTCACTTTTTCCGTTGACGAGTCGAAGGCAAAACGAGTATAATTGATAAATTTTCAAGCTTTTTATTAGGGCAATTCGATTCAGAAGACTTGGTACAATGGGAAAATTACGTTTACCACCCCTAGGTTTATTCATTATTGGTAAAGCGGTCTCTCAAAACATTTTCTACTTTANTAAAAAAAAAAAACCACCACTTGTTTTTCAAAATATAAATGTTCAAATTTTAACACTCTGCGCGTTCAAACTTCAAAGTTAACACTTACAAATACATAGACACGACCATTCAAACGTCACATATAATCCAAACTCCAAAGTCAGAACCAAAGTCACGGCCATCAAGGCGTCAACAAAAATTTCAATCTTCCTAATTCCTAAAACTGTGATTCTGTGAACTTCCCCTGTTCCAACAATGATAAAAAAAAAATTGCAGGGAGATTAGGGATAAATGGTTACTTCTAAAAGGGAGAACAACAAAGCGATGAAGCTTAATTGCTGAGAAGTCTGCTCCGACGAAGAAGACTCAAGCGTTGAGGCCGAGCCATTTTAACGTCGGAGTTCGGACTGTCGGAGGCTACAACCGTGTGAACTGTGGACTGTGGAGGATTGGAGGCTGAATAAGAAGTGAGAGAGAGATGGATTTGAGTTTAACGTCGGAGTACGATGGTCGGCCAGCGAGGGATGGAGGTGAAGAAGTCGCGATTGCGATGGAAGAGCAGAGGGAATTAGTGGAAAATTAATTTCAATTTAGAGATTTTAGGATTTTTTGGTATTTTTTTTAATTAATTTGTTTTGGATTGGGCCAAGGGAATGGAATATTTATGCTTCTTTGGGCCAATTTGTGTAAAAAAAAAAAGAAACAGCCCAAGTGCCCAAACGCAGCCCAATTTTAAAATCTGGTTCATTTTTTGAGTTTTGCACAGAATCGGTCAAAGTCGTAGAATCGGTCCGATTCTACGATTTTGACCGATTCTGCAACGACTCTATGTTCCTTTACGATTTTGAGCGACTTAGAATCGATTTTGTGACTTTGAGTCGTAGAATCGCCGATTCTACGACTCAAAGTCGCGATTTTGATAACCTTGATTATCCTCAATATTATAAATCCAATTGAATAATATCAATCAACCATTCTTACATATCACATCAACTTATTCATTAGTCATCCACTCACATAATTTTATCGAACTATCACTTCATATCATCTCTCTCATACTTTTACATCAAATGAACTTGAATTATTGTTTTTTAAATATTATTTTAGTATAAATTTAAAATTCTACTAACAATTAACCATACTATTTTTTTTAAATTAACCCTAGTTAATAAAAAACATCATTTTGAACGAAAAATTTTGTATCCAAGCACTCCCTAATTTTTTCAATTGTGACTTTTTGTTCCATCTTGTGCTTTTTTGGTTATATGTACAATTTAACACTTGAAAAGAAAAAAATAGATTAGTTAATAAATACATAAAAAGTACCTAATGTTCGTTTTTCAAATAAAAAAAATAAATGTTACCTATTTAAGATGTTCACTTCTATTCTTCATATTATAGAACTTATTTATTTTATACTGAGCTTGTGTCGATCTTCGTACTAAACTCTCTTTTGATGTGGATATCATTAAATCCACTAAGAACTCTTCTTCAATGTTATTCAGAAGAGGAGTTTTAAGAAGCTTCACTGCTGAGATATAAGGATTGATTGTTGCACTAGTAACGAGAAGAGTCAAAATGAGATGAATCAATTTATCAATCAAATGATAGTGTCTCTGTCTCAACTAATCACCGACATAAATAAGAAGTGATAGAAATATTTTTGAACTTTTTGTTCTGGACAACATTAAACTTGTAGTGTTCTAATTGGCTCCTCAATAGTGTAACTCTTGTTCAGTGAAATCAATGGGATAGAATTTCTCGACAAGATTATATATATCATCTCCATTAAACAACTTAAAGTTGTCCCGAGGCTCCAATGCAGAGCTAAGCCTAAGAAGTTCTACCACCCCATCTTCAAACCTGTTACTAAGCTCTTCCACTGAAAATCAATCGTAGCATTAAACACGTCAAAGTGGTAATGGTGCTCAACTGTAGTAGAAAACTTCTGTTGGCACGAGCGTTCCCTAGAAGATCGATAACATGCACTTATATCTGGTATCTCAATACCGTATTGTACTCCTCACAAAATGATGGCACATATGTAAAAAGATTATGGAAGCCTTCTTCTCTCAAAGTATAAAGCAAAGATTTGCAGTTGACACAATTGCATTTAAAATATCCAAAGTCTTCTCTTGCAAAGATTGACAAAAAAAAAAAAATCGTGATCGCCATTATGTTGTGCATCAGATATAAGCTAAATATGAAATCAAATGATCTCATCGCAATTAAAGCATTTGTGGCTTCCCCACATATAGAATTAGAAATTGTTTCTTCTGCCATATGCTCGAGCACGGTAATCATAGAATGATACGTACCTATCATACAACAAACAAACTCAAAATGAGAACTCCAACGTGTCGTTCCAGCTCGCTGCAAAGTTCTAATTTGGTTAAGTCCCGTACCTATTTCACATAAGACAAATAAAAAATCAGTTGAAAATTCAGTGTGATATAATTAAATGGTATACACAAAAATAAGATGAGTGAGATTAATTTACTTGTCTCATGATTACCAGTGGCTACTGTATTTGGAATATCAATTGTTTGGGTGAATTGAACTCGCTATGATATGTTGGTGACGCCTTAATGAGATTACAAATTGAAGTTAACTTTGAAATTAATAGCCAAACGGAGCTCTCGTTTTCAGCCACTACCATCAGCGCCAATTAAAGCTTGTGAGCGAAATAATGTACATAATATTCATGAGGAGTCTCCCTCAAGAAAAGAGCTTGTAAACCGTTTCACGATCCACACATATTACTAGCTCCGTCATATCCTTGATCCCGAATATCTTTGATATGCAACTCATATCGACCAAGAACATTAAATATTTTTTTCTTGAATGTCATAGCAATGGTATCGACAAAATGAACTATATCAAAGAACGTCTCTCTTAATAAGCCTTCATGAACAACAAATCTTAGCACAATAGAGATTTTTTCCTTGTCTGATATGTCTTTAGCTTCATCAACTAAGAGACAAAGTTTTGCACTTCCAATCTCTTCACGAATCTCTCTCCTCACTCTGTCAGCAGAAATATGCAGAATATATCTTTTTGGGTGTCTAGTGATGTATACTTTGCATTTTAGGAGCATTTTTTAGAACAACATTTGTAACATTGACTTCCATATTCCCCATAAGTTTTATTAGCTTGATAAGATTACTTGATTCCTTGAAAATGGTGATTCATCATGTCTTTCAATGCATATCCTTGCAAACAAAGCCAATGGATACTTTCGATCGTAGCCGTTACCCTTAATCGATTATTCTTCACTTCTTTCTACGTATGTGCATTCATCACTTTATCAATGTGACCACTTGCATTCATCAAAGGGCGCATGGATTTTGCGAAATTATTATGTGGTGACTTGGGATTTTCCACATGANTTTCCATCATTAGCTCTCTTCCAACCTCTAAATCCTTCCACTGTGAAAGCAGAATAACAAACCTCTTTTTCTTGAAAAATGAAACAAAAGAAACAAAAGACTGAATCTATTTTAGGAGAATACTTTATACGAAAATTGCTCATACCAAAATTTTTGAAAGCATTGATATTGATCTCATAACTTCGTTCGCAGAAATTCCAAAATAGGTTAATACAGGTCCTGCAAGATATAAGAACGCATTAACTGCATGTCGTGCATTGATAGTATATTTCCATATTGGAGGTACGTGTAGCCGGATCTAGGAAAACTTTGGCATCAATATATACTCTTTGATATTTGCCCGTGTGCTGATTAGAGTCATCTCGACTTGAAGTTTTCACATTAGAGTGAGAAGACTCTGTCATGGTGGATTTGGGCTTAAGAAATAAAAAAAATAGTTTTCTTTCTTCCACCTTAAGCATCCATTTGAAAAATTCACCTAAATAAGAAAATAATTTANAAAAAAAAAAAAAAGAAAAGAAATATCTTCTGCTTTATATTTAAAGACCAGGTTACTTCAAACCTTTGTAACAGACCCAAAAGAAGAACTAGCCTCCGGAGAAAGGGAAATACCTTGCTTTGCTCTGATGATAGCTTTATAAGTAGATTTGACAGAAAAGATACCCTTGGGGTTGTGAAGCTAGACCAGCTTGTCTCTGTGCTGAGCTTTGAATGAAGGGATTCTAAGGATAAGATCAGCTTCCCATGGGAGAAAAGTTTGAAGAATGAGATCAATGTCCCGTTTCCCCACTACTATCAAAAAGTTCATTTACCCTCTGCAGCCTGAGGGTGTCCCCAGCAAACTGAGGAGATGGTATGAAGCTAGGCAACCCAGGAACCCAAGGATCTGACCAAATAAAGGTATCTTTTCCATCCCCTAGCATCACTCTAGCGCCTGATTTGAAGTGAACTCTAGCTTTCAGCCATGAACTCCACAGCCAGGAGTCTGAGGACTTGTGGATAGCATTCATGAAGGAAGTATCAGGGAAATACTTTCCTTTGAGAACCTTCGTCAAGAGCAAGTCAGGCTGAGAAGAAATTAAGATTTCTTATACTTCCACAGATTAAGATTTCATATACAATCTAATAAGAAGAGTTAGGGGTAAGAAGAATCGAGTCGAGATAAAAATAAATAAATAAATTGAGCAAAACCATTTAATTTAGTACAGTTTGGTTTATAAATTTTATTGTAGAAAATTTTTGGTTCAGCTTTAGCTTGGTTTTTATATCCTACTGTGTGGTGTGGTTCAGTTTTAGTTTGGTTTCTTATATCCTACTGTGAGGTCCAATTAC